GAATCAGAGTCTCAATCTGTTGCCCAGAAAGATAATTCCAGGTTTTTTGGGTCCTTCTTCGTGTGTGTGTGTGTGTGTGTGTGTTTGAATCAGAGTCTCAATCTGTTGCCCAGGCTGGAGTGCAGCTGCATGTTCACAGCCACTGCAGCTGCAGCCTCTACCTGCTGGACTGAGGTGATCTTTCCACCTCAGCCTTCCAAGTAGCTGGAACCAGAGGCATGCGCCATCATGCTGGCTAATTTTCTTGATTTTTTTAGACAAGATCTCACCAAGTTGTCCAGACTGGTCTCGAACCCTTGGGCTCAGGCAATCCTCTGGGATTACAGGTGTGAGCCACCACACCTGACCTATGTATGTTGTTTTGACATCTTCAGAGGTATAACTTCATGGTGATGATTTTAAAAAACAAACAAACACTTATCCCACTATGATAAATCTTAGAGACTAAGCCAAATACATCCTGTCAGAACTAAGAAGATAGGCGGAGTTAGAGTGAGAAGGTTTTTACCATGAATCTAGTAAACTGTAGAAATGATCCCTGAAAGTATAGTCTTAGTCCATGAGTCTAAATTGGATTTACTACTTGCTTTGTCCCTTATTCTTGTGTCTGGAACAGATGGACAGATAACTACACATATTCTTGCTTGTTGCTTATTATTTTCCTAGGATTGAAGGTGTCCATGGGAAGTTAGAAGATAGGTTAAACTGGGACTCCACCACTTATCACTTCCTTTACCTGAGAAACTTGCAAAATATCAAGTCCTGTTTTCTCATCTGTAAAATATAAGTGGTGATGCATAATAGCAACCTTTTAGGATTGCTGAGATAATGTATAAAATAATTGGTAAATGATGAGGTGATTTCAGGATATTTATTACTACTTAAAATACCATTGTGAAATACATGTGTGATGCTAGGTTTCTGTGTTTGGGTAAGGTTATTAAAAATAAAAGATTTTAAGCTAGGCACAGTGGTCCAAGCCTGTAATCCCAGCACTTTGGGAGGCTAAAGGGAGGGGATTGCCTGAACCCATGGGTTCAGGACCAGTCTGGGCAATTTGCCAGACCTTGTCTCTACAGTCAATCAAAAAATTAGCTGGGTGTGGTAGTCCACACCTGTAGTTCCAACTACTTACTACTTGGAAGATTGGAATGAAAGGATCACCTGAGCCCAGCGGGTTGAGGTTGCAGTGGCTATGAGTGTGCCACTGTACTCCAGCCTGGTGACAGAATGAGACTCTGACTCAAAAATAAAAGTACTATTAGGACTTATGGAAACTAGTATTTATAGACTCTTGTGCCATTGAAAACCAAATTAGCACAAAAGTCTTCTTTAAAGACAAGTTTCGCAGAGAAATTACTCAGCTTTTATTTTAATTTTAATTTTACTTTTTTGAGTCGGAGTTTCACTCTGTCACCCAGACTGGATTGCAGTGGCACACTCATGGCCACCACAGCCTTCCAAGTAGCTGGAACTACAGGCATGCATAACCACACCCGGCTAATTTTTTGATTTATTGGAGAGATGAGGTCGCCAAGTTGCAAAGGCTGATCTTGAACCCCCGAGCTCAGGCAGTACTCTTGCCTCAGCTTCCCAGAGTGCTGGGATTACAAACGTGAGCCACCACGCCTAGTTTACTCAGCTTTTAAATTCTGACCTGTCTACTGTCTAGATGATGTAAAATTTATATGAACAGATTGCTGTTCATGGAGGTGAATAAGAAAATGGATAGCAAAGTTAGCATAACTAGATTGCCGTGGAAAGTTTTTGCCTTATGATGAGTCAAAAATCTTAGCCGAGCATGGTGACTGACACCTTTAATCCCAGCACTTTGGGAGGCAGAGGTGAGAGAATTGCCTGAGCCCAGAGGTTCAAGACCAGCCTGGGTAACTTGGTGAGACCTCGTCTCTAAAATAAATTAAAAAATCAGTTAGGTGTGGTGGTGCATACTTATAGTTCCAGCTACTTGTAAGGCTAAGGCAGAAGGATCTCCTGTGCCCAGTAGTCGAGGCTGCGGTTGCTGTGAACATGCCACTGCACTCCAGCTTAGACAACTGAGTGAGACTCTGACTCAAAAAAAAAAAAAAAAAAAAAATATATATATATATATAAATATATATATATATATATATATATATATATATATTAGCAAATACAGGAAGATGGATCTAGTAAGGACTGTGAGCCAAGACGGTAGTATGAGAGATTACAATCAAAATGAGTTGATTGAGACATCTAAATGCCAGCAAAACTGTCAATTCTGAATGAACTGTTCAAAAAGCCAATATAGACAGATTCATTGAAATCTAGACTGCTGTTAAGCACTTCCAAGAATATTTCCCCTGGATGGAGAGTCACCAGTTAATATGGTAAAGACCTTTTCTGTGACTTGGTGATATCTGATAAATTGGGATAACAGGAAACTCAAAAAGTGGATCTCATTTTTGAAAGATAAGTGATGATTACATGAAATATAACTTCTAGTACTTAAGGGTATGATTTAGATTTTTTTTTTTGAGTTGAAGTCTCACTCTGTTGCCCAGACTGGAGTGCAGTGGCACGCTCCCAGCCACTGCAGCCTCGACCTGCTGGCCTCCGGCGATCCTTCCGCCTCAGCCTTCCAAGTAGCTCGAACTACAGGTGCGCGCTACCACACCCGGCAAATTTTTGATGTATTGTAGAGATGAGAGCTCGCCAAGTTGCGCAGGTGGGTCTTGAACCCTTGGGCTCCCAAAGCGCAGGATTACAGGCTGAGCCTTTCTAAATGCTAATGTCTACATCCTATCCCTAGACATTTTGTTTCAGTATTCCAGAATGGAGTGGGGTGGGGGGGCATTGTATTTTCAAAAACTTGCTCAAAACTTGCCAGCTGATTTTTTAAAAATTATTTATGTGGGGTACAATTCAGGATGAGGTTTATAAATGGTCATTGTACAGGTAAAGTTTTGTCCTGACTTTGGTCTCCACGCTGACTGGTTCTTTTTTTTTTTTAACTTCTTGTCCACCACTGACTGATTCTCATGTGGCCTTTAGAACCAGTGGTTTCAGTGAGCTTTCTTTGTTTAATCATAGAAGTTATTCAATTCCTGGGTGTTGAGATTAAGAACTAAGTATTGAATTTTTTTTTCTGGGAAATACTAAGGGGGGAGAATGGCTTCTGTAAAGCTTGTATTTAAGGGACAGCCTCATCTTTTCCAATGTTACACAAATATTTGGGTGTTACAGCAGCTAGAAGTGCTAATAGGACGCTAGAACATTGTGTGGAGCACCTCAAAATGTAATATTTACTTCTGTAATATGAACAAGGCATGATTTTACTAGAAGAAAGGACTATTTCAATTACGTATGCTATGTGTATATAATATAAAATCTTCATACTTGTCATAAAATCCAAATAAGCAGTGCACCTTGCCATTCCTCCGAAGTTATCCATTCTTTAAAAAAAAAATCCCAATAAACATGATTGACTGTTTTCAGGATTTTTACATTAAAAGTAGTTTACTCATTATTTTCTTGTCTGCTAGCAGGTGTTAGCAAGCATCTATTTTCTTTCTTTCTTTCTTTCTTTCTTTCTTTCTTTTTTTGAGTGGAGTCTCACTCTGTCACCCAAGCTAGAGTGCAGTGGTACACTTAACGGCCACCACAGCCTTGACCTGCTGGGCTCAGGCAATCCTTCTGCCTCCGCCTTCCAAGTAGCTGGAACTACAGGCACGCGTCACCATGCCCAGCTAATTTTTTGATTTATTGTAGAGATGAGGTCTGTGCCAAGTTCTGGGGCTGGTCTTGAACCCCAGGGCTCAGTTAATCCTCTCACTTCGGCCTCTCAAAGTGCTGGGATTATAGGCATGAGCCACAGCGCCCAGCCTGTTAGTTTTTTAAAATTCAAATCGAGAGGGCTAAAACCAAACTTCCTTTTGAATTAAAAGTTGTTGGAATAGTTTGGTTCCATTTATTTAGTGACCAGGTACATAATTTGGATACTGGAGAGAAATCATTCATGTGCAGTGAGGAGTTTTTTTTGTTTGTTTGGTGTTTTGTTTTTTTTTTGAGTTGGAGTCTCACTCTGTCACCCAGACTGGAGTGCAGTGGCCACTCCTGGCCACCGCAGCCTCAACCTGCTAGGCTCCGGCGATCCTTCCGCCTCAGCCTTCCGAGTTGCTGGAATTACAGGCGCGCGCTACCACGCCCGACTGATTTTTTGATTTATTGTAGAGATGAGGTCTCGCTGCCCAGGCGGGTCTTGAACCCGTGGACTCAGGCAATCCACTCACCTCAGCCTCCCAAAGGTGTGGGATTACAGGCTGAGCCACCGAGCCTGACAAAAATCTTTACCTTTCAAGTGGTTGAGTTAGCAGAATGTGGTTATGTGGATCATGTAAAAAAATTTGACTTTGTAGATTTGAAATCTTTATTTAAAAGGGACTTAGATTTGTGTGTGTGTGTGTATGTGTGTGTGTGTGTGTGTGTGTGTGTGTGTGTGTTGGAGTCTCACTTTGTTGTCCAGGCTAGAGTGCAGTGGCATGCTCACAAACACTGTAACCTTGACCTGCTGGACTCAGGTGATCATTTTGCCTCAGCCTCCTGAGTAGCTGTGACTACAGGTGTGCCTGGTTGTTTTTGTTTGTTTGTTTGTTTGTTTGTTTGTTTGTCTTGAGACGTGGTCTCACCAAGTTGTCCAGCCTGGTCTCAAACACCTGGGCTCAGGCAGTCCTCTTGCCTCCACCCCTCAAATTCTGGGATTACTGGCATGAGCCACTGCACCTGGTTTAAAAAGGACTCAGATTAAGGAAAGACTGAAAATATTGTTTTAAAAGGATGTTTGTTGGTGGAATCTAAAGCTTAACTTTACTTTATGGTACCGTTTGGTTCAGGAACAGTATAGATTAAAGAGGTTTATTTATAGATTACAAGGTTTATATTATACAGGGTTTTAGGATACTGAATGAGAGTATTTTATTTGTGGTCTTTAAAAAGAGTTATAATTTTTTTTTTATTTCCAGCTTTCTGAAACAAAGACTCATTTTGAAGATGTTTAATAAATCATTTGGAACACCCTTTGGGGGTGGCACAGGTGGCTTTGGCACAACTTCAACATTTGGGCAGAGTAAGTTTTTAAAAAAGAACAAATGAGGGGAGAACATCTTAATTAACCTATTCTTATTAAGAACAAGTCTACTTGATAGCTTTAGTTAGGAATTTTATTCATACTTTGATCTTTGAAAGTCTCTTTTAAAAAAACAACCAGCATATGATCTCGTTAAAATTTTTTAAAAAATAGATGTAAGTTCTGAGTTCTCATGACTTTCTAATCGTCAGTAGAGGGTACTTAAGATATTTTTATTATTTGATTCTTTTAACAGAAAATTATAGCTTGTTACTAATTTTCAGACCAGAAAATAATTATTTAATGTTGAAGTCTAAAATGCAGTTTTTGAATCACTGCTTCGGAATTTACTCTGTGAACAAGATGGGGTGTTCAGAAACATAAATGTTAAAACATCAGTGTCCCTAATCCCCTCCAGCCCTCCTGACATTCACCTTCCCACCCAGTATTGTACTTGACATTAGTTGCCTGTAGCAACGCTTATTCACATTTAAAGTTTTTGTTAAAACTTTTATTCTTATACAAGCGTAGAAAGAATGGTATAATGAACTCTCACGTACTTATCTCCCAGCTTTAGCAATCACCATTTTCCCAGTCTTGTTTTTTCCCCCTCTCTTTTTTAGGGAGAGAAGAGCATCTGAACAGCATAATTTAATGAAAATTCCAGAAACTTTATCAAACTGATGAGGATTTTTAAAAAGCTAACAATCAAATCTCAGTCATACCTAGTAAAAATAACAATAGAGGAAGTTTTTTCAAGTGTCTCTAGACTTCCTTTTAGAGAACTCTGCATCTAGATCCAAAGTTTTTAACTAAGAGTAACTTTTGAAGGGTTTTATTCAAAGTACATACTTCCATCATAAAACTATAGTGTTAGAATTTTGGGAGTTGGAGCCCAAATATGTATATTTGAAAAAGCTTTTCAGGTCATTCTAATGTGATCCCCTAATGGAATACCATTGATATCAGTGACTGTGGAGTGTACCAATGTCTGAAGATAATTTTAACACTTTAATTTAGTGATTTACTTTTATCCATAGCTCATAGTCACTAGTTACTTTGGCATTCTTTTTTTTTTTTGTGAGTCGGAGTCTCACTCGATTGCCCAGATTGGAGTGTAGTGGCAGACTCATGACCACCACAGCCACCACCTGCTGAGCTCAGGCAATCCTTCCATCTCAGCCTTCCAAGTAACTGGAACCACAGGTGTGTGCCACCACGCCTGGCTGATTTTTAAAAAAATTTATTGTAGAGATGAAGTTTCACCAAGTTGCCCAGGCTAGTCTTAAACTCCTGGGCTCAGGCAGTCCTTCTCACCCCCGCCTCCCAAATGCTGGGACTGCAGGTGTGAGTCACTCACCTGGCCCCTTTTTTTTTTTTT